CAAACTTTGTTATTTTTCTAGAACGTACAATTTCGCTTATTCAACAAGACATGTATCCAATCTTTTTTTGTGGAGAAAATAAAAAAAAGATAATTAAACTAGCAAACACGATAATTATAAAAGCACTAACTTTTCAAAATATTTTGCATTTTAAACTTTAAAATGTGCTCGTATGTATCATATGGTTCAATGTTTGTTAATATTACAGAGAAAAATCATTAAATTCAACTTATCAAAAATATTTCAATCAAAATCAATTATTTTCTATAATACATGATAAATAGATCTTCATGATCTCGACTTCAAATATTAATTCAATTAAATTGGACATGTGCTGCAAAATTTTGGTCAATTGATTTAATGAAGGATGATTAATATGGAATTTCAGCGATGATATAAATGAAATACTAGAATTAAGTTGATAAAATTCATAGGAGGAACGCTTTTAGTTGATAGATCTTCGATCAAGCTAAGTTGAGTGAGCTAAAGAAGATAATAGCATTGTAAAGCTGGATCACTAATTGTTTCATTCAATGGAATATGATAGTATCAATGATTGATAATGAGTGAATTGGTGGCGAATGAAATTATGAAAAGTCACTAGATCTATTTGATATGATACATTGCGATTAGCTGTGAGACATAAATCTAATTATTTGATATATCCGTGATGCACGATTTTTGCGACCAACAACCTTAAAATTAAGGTTCAACATGGATTAAAATTTAAGATCACGAGTTCGAAATGACCAAATCCAATGAATATATAAAGACAAAGAGAACAAAGCAGAGACAAATAAACGAATCATTGTCAACTTATGCGATGTGTAGAGCCTTCTAGCATATCAACCAAGATGGCGAATGACATCCGTACTACTAGATGGGCAAAATTTTTCTCTATCGAACAGTATTGCTACTTTGTTTCCTGAAAGCTTGGGTCGAATTCGAAAATCATGTTACGAGTTAACCGTAAAAAGAAGAGCTAAAAGGAACCAAGTTTACGTGAGTTCGAACGTTCCTATTTTTACAATCATTCGTTATTTTGCAAACATGTCGACAATTTTGGAACTATAACGTAAAAATTTTTTGCAAAAACCGAGAAAAATTATCTTATTTCTTGAGTAGTAAAATATTTAATTTTCATGGTTCGTATCCCTTGTATAAAACATAAGTCGTGTGCATTAAGAAATAATACGATGCATTTTGAACTTATCTAATTCGATTTCCATTCTTCATGTTGAAAATATTCCTTTCTACAGTTTATCAGCTATTATACGGTGGTCTGGTGTGGTGTGGATGTAAGTGCGAGGTGCGAGGTGCGAGTAAAATTCGGCGGTTGCAAACAAAAAAATGGAGCTAAGAACTGAACTAGCACTGCAACCATGAAATCATCAGACAGATACAGAAGTTCTTAAATAAATGTTGAGAAATCTTCATTTTTTCCTTCTTGAGATTTGGGAGTTCAGTATATATATGTCATATTGTTTTGTTTATATACTGACATATGTGGTACCTTTGATCTTTAAATGGTGCAATCGTGATAAGATCTCAAATACTTCTAGTCTCAATCCTTCTCATTTCTTCAGAAATCTTGAACAGATCAGTCAGGATCCTCGTCGCCCAGGATGTTGTCAAGATTCTTACAGGATCCTGCCTGAAATCCTAGTTATTTCTGTTTCGAGGACATTTCAGGATTAAGCAGGATCCTTTTCAGGATTCATTCAAGTTCCTGCAATGAATTTTTGAGAATTCTAGAAGCAAGGATTCTACAAGGATTAACTGATGACCCTAATAGGAACTTCGCAAGAATCTGAAACGAAGCATTACTTGTATTTACTTAAGTTTTGTGAGTATCTTCTAGAAATCCCTTGGTACAATTGAATCAAGCATAAAACTGCAATCAGATAGCATTTTAAAAACAGTATGAAAGAAAAGGCTCGCACTGCTGGTCTAACATATTATTGCACTGCCTGTCTGAATCCTCTTCAAGAGTCAATGGTAAACCTGATAGGACCTTTAAAATTCTTGTTTGGATCCTACAAGGATCCTGATCCCAACATGTGTTCAATTCTACGAGGATCTTGATCACAATATGTGTCCACTCCTATAAGGATCCCAATTACAAAGGTATCCAATCCGATAAGGATCCTGATCGTAATAGCTGTCCAATCCTACAAGGTTCCTGAAACTTTGTAGAGACAAGTAAACCATTTTTTCGAGTGAATTTCAAGTCTCCTGTCGTTGTTCGTTCTATTGCAACATAAATTGTTTAAATTTAGCAGAATTAAATAAGGTTTTTCAGTAATTACGTATTAGATGAATTTTTTTTTCGGACTCTTTAATAGTTAAGATAGCTTTGTTTCAATTGGAGATAAAGTCAAATATACATTGTATAGTGACGACAAATGCTCAGAATTCGTTTTGCGATACAAACTCGGTGTTAAAACACTAGGACGATGATTTTTTATGTGTGCAAGAGCAATCATAAATCCATGAGTTATTCCCCAATTTTCTTTGTTGTTTTAGCTTTTCGACTACACAATTGGTAGGTATAATACGAAGCCACTTTTTATTCACATATCACACTTTAAAATACGATATCACATAATAATTACTTATGTGAAAAAAAAAGAATAGTGATAAATCACATTATAATCAATTATCATCTTTTATTAAAGCCAATTGAAATCTAATTTTCGGCTTGAAAGACGGGGTTTCATTTGATTTGAATCGACTAAAATTAGACATTGTTTCCATTCTTTTCTATGTGTTGTGCAATCATCACATAACTCGATCTTGCTTATGAATGAAGAGTCATATTCAACTAAAATTATAACATACATACATCTCTCTTGAGAACAGGGTCAAGTTTGCAATGGACGGCCTGGCAAACACTCAAGTCCATCCGGCCCATCAGTTTTCTCTAATGAAGACTGTTCGACCCATTCTGAAATCATCCTTGAACTTCCTAATCGTTTCTATGTTTGCTGGACAACATTGTATTCATAAAGAAACTCTTTCAAATAACATCTTTCACTGAGGTTATATAAAAATGAAAAGAAAGTGACAATGAGACTACCAAAAGCCTGAAAGAGTTCACCTTCATGAACTTTACATATCAAGTTATACCTGCTTTGTAGGTAATTCCTGAAAAAACATGTAGTTTCTATTTAAAATCTTGCTTATAGATAGATATAATAATTCTCGAAATATTTTTAGCGTTTCGAGTCGAAAACAATGTTCTTTCGTCAAGATATTACATTTCGAAAAATTGTTCGTTGTCACAAAAATCAAACTCACTTGAAAGTTCCATAGCTTCGCAAAGTAACAGTCGTTTTAGCTGAAAATTTCCAGAAAGTCTAAGAGTCAATATAGATATCTAATAGCAAAGTTATGGACTGAAACTGTTATTTGCTTTTTTCAGGACCTACCACGAAATGGTCATAACTGGATGCTGAAAACCCGATGGAGAGAAACTCTGGACCGCTTTTGTTAATCTCACTAAGACTTATTTATGGGTCTCGATTGAAATCGTTCTCTTGTGAGTTTTATTATTTATTCGCAAAATAGGCATATTTTGATGAACTCGGAACTTTTAGAAGTATCTTCAGTTCTGAATATATTATAATATGAAACATAAGTGGTGGAATGATTTTAATATAGTGGAGGCTCAAATTTTTTTTCAGGCAATGATAAGAAAAGAGTTTAAATAAGGAACAAATTCCTAATTTTATAGCTTTCACTCTATTAAAAATATTTCTGTACCTGTTCATTTCAAAATTGGGAAAACAATCAAAAATGTTACTACTAAATTAACTTTTCTAGCACATAAATAGAAACTTAAAGTTAATATAAAACCAATATAATAAACAGAGCTAAAAGACAATATTCACAACCGACAAAAACTTTTCTATTGTGGTTTCCTTGAAATAACATAAATAGTCACGTCATGTAAAAGTAGCTGTACCATACTTGATCGTAGAACTGTCAAATTTGAACGTATTAGTGTACTAAATTCATAGAACATATACCATCAATTAAATTAATTAATGTTATGTTTAATCTAACTGTATTATTATTGGCAACTACATCTGTTTTTTTTTTGTTTTTTTTTGTGGAAAAAGATATGGTGTGACACTGTTTAGCAGATATTTTTTGTGCTAAAAAATTAGTGTTCGCTTATCATTTAAATACCTTTTATAAAAGTGAAGCCTAGAAACACTTTTATAATAGACGAAGACACATTTGCTCCATAGATAAATTCGATCATCTGACCATTCTTGTCTATTAATGAGTCACTAGTAGTAATAGATCAAGATGCTTAAAAAAACTCGCAGACCTTGACTATCTTCAGTTCGACTGAATATATCTTTCAGAAATATATGAGACACTTGTGCAAAGTGCTCTCACTAACAAAGTATAAACTGACGATAAACTCTGTAAAATATATGTTCAAATATTTGAGCCGCCCCAAACTTAAGGGATGCACCGCCTACAATAAGAAATGTTTCGTTTGATCTATTTTTCGTCTATGATAATCAACTAACTATCCATAAAATATTTAATTCAATTTATACCAAGGGAAAAAAAGCGCGACTTCAGTACTTCACGTACTTCTCCGTACTTCACTAGTACTTCAAAATTGTGCTTGAAGTACAGTGAAATTCGAGTGAAGTAAAAGTGAAGTACGGTGAAATCTCGCTTTTCCCCCCTTGATCCATACATATTATTGTTTTATGCTGTCTTAGTTTTAGCATGCTTTGATCTTCTTCAACATTTGCTTCGACCATCTTATCTATAACTCAATTAATTAACAATTTTGCTGCTCTCAAATTTTCGATGGTTAGTTGTTATACATTATATATGGACAATTCAATGTAAAATATTTTCTAAGAGCAACTTGACCATTATCAAAGTCTTTGAATATTAAACTGTTAGACATTTTTGAAAATGCATCAAATACATCTGAAACTGCTGAATTTTCTGTCCTTAGTCTAGTCATGTTTAAATCAGCTATAATAGTTTCACAACAATATAATATGACAGTAGAAGGAAAATTAATCGAATCGCATTCAGTACAAATTGGTGGTAATGTAATCGATGCCTTCAGTCAAACATCTAATATATTATCGGGTTCAAATATTGTTGGTATTGTTGGTCCAGAATTATCAAGAGAAGCTCATTTAATATCCTAATTTGCAGAAAGAATAGGTATACCTGTTATATCATATAGTGCAACTGATCCTGATTTATCTCATCGAAATTTTTATTCAAATTTTTATCGTACAGTTCCGTCAGATAAAACAACTGTTAAAGCACTTGTAAAACTATTTTAAAAAATTAATTGGATATCATCTATAATTATTTATCAAAATGATGCATTTGAAATTGGAGGTTACAAAGCAATAACTGAAGAATTTATTAAAAATAATTTAACAGTTCGATATTCGATCATATTTCATATATCGACACTTCTTACTCACGTTGATTGTAAAAAGAATTTACTAGAGAGTGAAAGTCGAATTGTTATTTTATGGGTTCAATCAAGTTATATATATTTCGTATTAAACGAAGTTCTTGAGTTTGATGCAGTTGGTCCCCAATATACATGGACATTCAGTTCAAGTATTTCATTAGATTCTTTTAATAAAAAATATTATGAAAAGTTAATTGAATTATTAACTATTGAAGGATGTAGGTGGAAAATATATCCAAATCCACACCCACACTCACATGCAGTTCCATTGTTAGTATATTACACTGGTCAATTGAAGGTAAATGGGCGTATTTCCTCCTCGTATACATATGCTCCTAATTATTCTCCAAACATCAACAGGTAATTTCAGTCATTTCATCTAACTGAAACACATTTATAGTGCTGAAGTACTATTGCTGACTCAATAAAAATATGAAGATGCCACCAATTCTTAACTTGGCAATTCATCCTTTCTACACCTCATCAAGTGAATAAAGCGTAATACTTACGCAGAAGACTATTCGTAGTCTTAGAAGCTCAAATAGACAGTCACTATGCTGGGTCGATAATATCCAAAAGCGGTCTATCATGGCACTGATATCGACTTTCATGTACGTCTTTGCTAAATTCAATATAAGTATGGACGAGAGTGAAGGTCCTCTGTTCATTCTACTCTATCCACTTCGTATTCACGCATTTACAACCACAAAAATCGACGCAAGTATCTAGAAACTCTAATAATTAACAGTTATGATGCTTCATATGACAATAATCATTTTCTCGTGAAGACTTTTCGAAATAGACTTAATAACAGAGATTAAACAAATTGCATAGTAACAGATGAAGGAAGAACAATCAAAGCATTAGATATAGTTGTGGTGAAAGGCTAACATACCTCAACATTTGTATTATATAGCTTATGCTTGTTGAGAATAGCATGATAATTTGACATGTCATCAATGATCATTATACAATCAGACATGCCGTTTTACGTAGTGATGAACCTGTAGATCAATCTTTTTCTCTAACTATTATGAAAAACACTAAATAATTTTTTTGATTTACCTTTCCTAAACTGTTCAACGAAAATCAACAAAGAGTGTGGATATTGGCGTAAAAACAGAAAGATCCACACCCACACACTACTCATTTGGTGTGAACGCAGAGCAGAAAGTACTATGAAGCTACAAGTATGGAAAAATCATTGTTTGATAGAATGTAGAAATATGTCACGACATCATATTGACACAAGCAAATGAAAAATAATCGGTTGAGACTCANTATAGATATTTGTATAAAATACGTCACAACTATCTTCAATAAGCTCTTCTATCTTAGTCCAACCAAAAAGAAATTCGACAATAAAACCAACTAATGGTACTAAATAGATACCCAATTGAGTCAAGATCAATATTTTCATATGGACTTGGTATACATTTCGATTGTATGCTATTTGTACATACCGACATATATTCAAAGCTAATAGAATATATACTCCAGTTATATTGAAATAATTATCAAGTATTGCTTCAAAATAGCAGGTAAATAAAACCCATGCTCTACTTGGATTACATTCTGCAGATATTGTATGAACAATATAACTAAACAAAAAGCGAACAAGAAGAAAAATATCAGTGAGAAGATAAGAATAGATCCATAATAGTGATCTTTGTCGAAGAGATGAGCAAAAAAAAATTTGAAGCCAAAATGCTAAATGAATAACTGAAGCTATAATACAAGCATAAAGTTGAGATTTTTTATTATTAATAACAGCTTGAGACCATAACAGAGGCTTTGAACATGTGATATTCGTATTGTTAAACAACGATATATTTATTGCTAGACTATCCATCTATAAGAAGAAATTTCTCCTTTGAAAATGTTAACAGTGGAAAATACTTTATAAAAATATCAGTGCCTAGAAAAGTATCTGGCATACATAATCGTGATGATAGTTAGGATTACTTAATGAGGCTAAAAATATTTTTTGTCTAATTAAAAGATATACTATACAATGTTTCTTGATCAAAGTGTTTTTTTTCTAAAATTATCTATCATTATCGAATGCTAATGAGAATTGTCTGATAATCTTCTACGTTTTTGTAGATGAGTTTTACCAACTATGATCGGAACTAATAAATTTATTTGTATGAATCTAGAAGCTTTTAGAATAATGTGTTAGTTTGTTTTTAAGCTTGATTCCATTTAGATGTGACTAATGTGCAAGGTACTTGGGAAAACTTTATTTAAACTCATCAATCTACACCAAAAGTTATAGAAGTTCTGTTAATTGGTTAGTATCTCGAATAACTGGTGCTTTAATTAGTATATTTACATAAAAGTATAGCTAGATTTTAAGGATTTAAACTTAACTAGTATTCATACGGAATAAAGTGAAAAAACGAATGTCTCAAAAATATCTCCTGCTTCTCAATCAAGTAAATCATCAATTCAACAAATGGATTCATATTAGCATTACGTGATATTATGATTCAATGAGATCTAAGTTAAACAAATCACATTCAAACATCAGATATATACAGTAGACAGGTGAAGGTGGAAGAATTCAAAGATATTATAGATGAGAAATTAGGGTTAGCGATCTAAGATTGACGTCAGAAGAGGACTTTCATTGAAATTCTATTTAAATAGTAAGAGAAAAGCTTGTCAGCGCAGCCCCTTTGGGGCTGAAATGTGGAACTCACATATCTCCTTTGGTTTCATTATACTAATGACAGAATGCCCAATATTTAAAATCTCCAAAATATAAGAATTTTTTTTCTAAAGATAATCGATTATTAGAAAATGCTATATTTTTATCTCTAAGTTTCGAACAGAAATTTTTTTCACTAAGTTGCTACGATCTGTAATGGGGGGTATCTCTGTANTCCTCAGGCCTTGAGCAATCGGGTGAGTTGGGGGAGGGGGGGCGGTGCCGCCAACCTCGAACCGAAAACTTACACTCACTATTTTCTTCGAAAACATACGTGAGTTCCATAAAAGTATATAGATAATGTTAGATACTGTCCGGTATAGGTTAGCAAGCGATGATTATAAAAAAAATCTTAAATTAAAATATCAAGTCAGAAATTAAGTAGATAAGACAAGTACTAAATGTGTAACTAGTGACAAAAATGCAAGAAATATATCAACATAATAGTAAAATCTATTCTTGATGCTGCTCATTTATTGTTAGTAACTATGAGTTTCACTAAATATTATATACAATGTCTAATTTAGTAAAATTTACTGTCACTAAGCGTAGAATCCCTTGATTAATACCTTTTATGATATGTCATTACATATTATATTGAATCAACAATGTTTCATGACTAATCTAAATTAATGTGAAAAAGGTGTGTCATAGTTGATGTGGGCGTGGCCAACCATAGGATACCCCGACCCTTATTTGCTTATACGGCTTCACACGGATATCGAAAAAATTTGATTTTTTTATCAGTTGTAGTACATATGTGATGCTATCGATCTGTTATTGCTAGGTCTCTACATGTCATTGATCCTAAGAATTATCCGCTGTACCGTTACAACCGATTTTATGGAACTATTCCACATATGATTTATGAACATTTACTACTTTTTAACAAGATGTAAATCAAGATAAAGCCACTAGCTTCGACAGAGTTGTGGTATGAAACGATTGTTCAAAAGTAAGTACTTTCCATGCTTTTTATTTACGAACTGGATGTTTATTCAAGTTCGTATTACATAGAGCAGAAACAACTTGTGTGATTTTAGTCATCTTGTGAAAATCATCGATATCTCCTCTGTAAACACCACCAAGGATACCATAGGTTTTAAGACGTTGATTAATATTTTCAATTGCTGCTCTAGCGCTATTAATTTCATGATTGAAATCCTTATCTTCGTTAGTTAATTCACGTCCATGATGTTTCTTTCTAGGAGTCACTACATATTCTTCACCAATATATCCTTTGTCACCAATAATTTGCACAGAGTCATTTACATGTTCTAATAGACCTGACTCTCTTAGAATTGTGATATCGTGCACACTTCCATGATAACAGTCGGATACATGCACAATTCGATGATGAAAATCGCAAGCTACTTGTACTTTAAAAGCATAATTTTTTGGACTTTTTCTATGGTAATATGTTCGACGCTGCGCTGATTCATGTGGTTCCGGAATTGCAATGCAAGTCGAATCAACTATTAATTTATGATGTTGTTGAGGTCCATGTGGTGTTCTTCTATTACCTATGTCAGCAGGTATTGAAATTAATTCTGGATATACACGTGCATGTAAAACTATCACGACCTCTGACAAGAAATAATTAACTGTTGATCGATTTAAATTCAATTCACTAGCAATATATCGTTCAGAATGATAATGCTTTAAGTACCATAACGTCACCACAAGTAAATTCATAGGAGATAAAAGTGATGTGTTCGCATTGTTTGATTGTTCCTTGGTTCTATGCAAGCAATAATCTATAAGTGCTTGTTGACACATCGAATACAACTGATGCACTTGTTCGATATCATGTCCTGTGTGTTGTTTACATGATTCATCGTTGCATCTCAATTCTGACCATGGACGTTGTTCTACAAAAACATGAGCAAATATAATCAAATGAGAAGCGCAAATCTAAATCAAATCAATGAATTTTACTCACCATCATTTAGAGTTTGAAACTGTTGAATGGCAGCGTGTTTTTCTTCCACTTTCTGTGGTTTGTCTTCAAGCTCTAATGAACAATAAGTACAATTATCACGATGTCGATAATAATTCGTGTACAATCCAGATTTTTCCGAACCGGTGCATGTCCATGTTAACATAGAATGACAATTTTCACAGTATTTTCTACGATCAGCAATGAC